GGGGGGGGGGAGTATTTGAGGCTCCAGCCCCATGGCAGCAGGGTTCTGCCTGGGCCAGACCAGCTAAGCTGAATGAACAATGATTTAAAGCAGGTATGATTTATGGATATAAACTTTTTATGTTTTGACGTGATTTTTATAAAGCTTTTAACAGTATACCGTTATTATCATTGCTAAATTGTCTACCCCCCACATACCTAATTTTGCACAATCCTGAAAGTGTAAATTGATAAAAATCTAAATAAATGCTTAAAAATAAACCTCAATTTTAGTTGTCAAAATTATTAAATAAAAATCAAATTCTGCCAAGCCTACAAATAAATTAGAAGGATAACTGCTGCCACTCAAAACTATTACATTATCTGTTCAGTACACCTGAAACATGTAGGGAGGTTGCAAAAACACCTGAACCCTCTTTGAGAACAGTTTATAGAAGTGAACGTCTGGCTGGTTAATAAATGCATTGTGGGTCTCTTGAGACACTGCTCAAGTTCCGAAATTAAAATGTTAAATGTTAATCTGTTTCTCAACTAAACTTCCTTTGTATTCACATGATTCATATTAATAACATATTGCACAATGTACCAAATTAAAGGGAACATTGTCTTTGTATATTGGGAAATGCATCATATGAACTATGGGTTTTTTAATATTTCACCAGTGCATGGGCCTTGAAAATTTAACCAGGTGCCTAGCCAGGAACAGATAGGAGAGCCTTGGGAGGAAAAGGCCACTGCCAGCAAAATAGCCACATTTCTACTCCTTGCCTCCTCTCAGCACTGTCAGCCACTGGGATTCCTACCCAGCCTGACTTAAGGGGCAGCAAAAAGTGCAGCTCCCCGTTGTAACTGAGAATGCTTTGCAGGAAGCATTCTGAGTTACAAAGATCACCTGGACCAAACAGAAGTTCACCGTTGGTTCTAGGGGGGAGGGGAATCTAACTGCTGGCTTTGAGCCTGCAGCCAGTTTCCCTTAGCAACTTCTCCCTGCACAGCTGCAAAGATTTAAGAATGCCAGAAGGGGAAAGGGACCAGAGGGACCTTGTTTTAGGGGGTTCCCCAGCCAGTGCTGGAGGGTGGGGTGGGGGAATTAGAGTCTCCCCCCCCCCCACCCCCC